TGGATACAAATTTATATATATATATTTTAAATTATTAAAATATTTTTATTAATAGAAAAATTCTTTAAGATACTTTTAACTTATATCTAAATAAATTCTTATCTACGGACGACTACAAAACAATCGGATTCAACAACCAAATTATTGAAGCAACTGCTAAGATTAAAAAATTGGGCTCATGATAAACACACCTCCACTCTCCTATAAGCACACCCCCTTTTAAAAAAAATATATATAAAATGTCTAAATTACCCTTAAAAAAAAAATTCCTAAATTTACACCCCTCCTTCCTCGCACCCCCTTCCCCGCAAGCAGAACGGGCCGTACTGCAAGCAGAACGGCCCGTACTGCTTGCAATACGGCCCGTTCTGTTTTCAGTGCTGGCCGTTCTGCAGCAAAACGGGCCGTACTGTTTTCAGTACGCCCCGTTCTGCAAGCAGTACGTCACGTTCTTCAATCAGTACGACCCGTTCTGAAAGCAGTACAGGCCGTTCTGCTTGCAGCAAGGGCCGTTCTGCTTGCAGCAAGGGCCGTTCTGGGGCCGTTCTGTTGCAGTACAGGCCACCGCGTCACTTTTAAAATGGCTACCTTATGACTGATTTTAAAACCCCGATTTTAAAAGTTATTTTTGTACTAATCTTTCTTTTCATAGAACAAGTAAGAGTCTTTCTCATACAAAATCACTTGCCGACATTGCGCACCCCTCTTCTTTCTCTTTCTGGCACTCCTCTTCTTCTTCTTCTTACTGTTACGAAAAGTTCTTTCCGGAATTATATAAAAATGTTCCGGAAAATACTTTCCATAATATTAAATTCTTATTCCGGAAAGTATTTTCCGGAAATATTTTGTTATATAATTCCGGAAAGTATTTTCCATAATATTAAAGTTACTATTACGGAAAGTTCTTTCCGGAATTATATGAACAATAATTTCTATTCCGAAAAGTACTTTCCGGAATGCTAATGACTGTAAAAGTACTTTTCGAAATGCTATGACTGTAAAAGAACCTTTCTTATGCTGATTATGGTGGGACTAGTCCTTTTTTTCTATTCAGAATGACTGTAAAAGTATATTGCTTAATAACATTGAGCGGAAAGAGGCTTTGGGAAGAAGAGGGGTGTGAAATGTGGGGTGCGGGGAAGGAGGGTGGGCGAAGGGAGGTGTAAATTTAAGAATTTCATTTTTTTTAAAGGGTAATTTAGACATTTTATATTTTTTTTTAAAAAGGGGGTGTGTTTATATGAGAGTGGAGGTGTGTTTATCACCAGCCAAAAAATTGCCCCTTGTGCACATTGCAACTCATAAGAAACCCATTAACAAGTTGGGCCTCCATCCATTTTTTTTTCTCTCATGATATACACGCTTCCTTCTTATAAGTATATCTCCTTTATTTAAAAAAAAAATTCTTAAAATATCTTTTGTTTTTTATTTTTATTTTTAATTTTTAATTTTTTATCTCTAATTTTTAATTTATTATTTTTTTCCATACATCTCTTTCCTTCTATTGTTCAGTTTTCACATGTATCATTTTATTTTATTTTTCTAATTTCTTACTTATTTCAATAAGTGGTTTTATTTCTCTTAATTTTTACATTACTTTCACTTTTTCACATGTCCCGGATCGTAGAACTGGTGCACAATAACATTGTAGGTACGTACAACTTTCTCGATAGTTTCTATGAGATAGATGCACATTTTTTCTTCTAACACTTCTTTCTTTTTATACCTCAAAAAACTTTTAACATTAAATTTAGTATTATATAAAAAGACATTTTTGGAACACTAATTTCACTATTTTGAAGTACTTTTCAGGATAGTGGAGTTAGTGCTCTATAATGTAGTTTTCAAAATTATGTTTTTAACATACTTCTGGAAAGTACTTTTCGAATCAATAAATTTAATGTTCTGGAAAATATTTTTTAAAAGTGTGTAAAATAACACATTCTAGAAGTTCTTTCCAAAATAGTAAACTAAGCATTTCGGAAAGTTTTTCTGAAATATATAAAATAACACTTTCAGAAAAGTACTTTTTGGAATAGTAAACTTAATGTTCTCGAAGTATGTTTAAAACACAATTCTGAAAAATATTTTCAGAAACACTAATTTTACTATTTCAAAAAGTATTTTCTAAAACATTAAAATTATTTGATGTTGGATTTTCTAGATATGTAAATGGGGGAAGTGCTCAAAGAAAAAACACACATTTTGTTCGATACTTTTGACATTGTTGAGAAAATCACATGCACCTATAATACTATGATCGAAAACAAGTTCTACATCCCAAGTACATGAGAAAACTAAAAGATAGAAGAAAGAAGATAATAGTGTAAAAACTTAAAGAGGAGGAGGAAGAAAGTAATATAAAATCAAAATAATTATATTAAACTACCTACTTAAATGGATGGGGAGTAGAAGAAAGATAAGAGAATGTATGTGAAAACTAAAAAAAAGAAGGAAAAGAGATATGTGGAAGAAAAAAAAGTGTTAAATTAAATATTGGAGATGTAATATTAAAAAGTAAAAATATTTTAATTTTTTTTAAAAAGAGATGTACTTATATATATATATATATAGAGAGAGAGAGAGAGAGAGAGAGAAGGGGGGTTATAATTACACCGGTGTAACTTTTACTAAGTATTACACCGCTCAATAACTTTATATTAAATGTGAATTTTGTAAATCCAACCGTTAGATTGAAAAATTTTTACTCTATACAAAATCTCATATTAATCCAATATGATTTGATACTTCATTCTTATAAAACAAAATTGACGTAATATATTCATTTAAAAATATACTACAATATGAATATTTTGATTATCTTTAAGTTGTTCAATTTTAACAAAATTTGATATACACATATAAAGTGATATAAAATTTCAATCTAACGGTTGAGTTTATTAAATTTATAATCAATATAAAGTTATTAAGCGGTGTAATACTTAGTAAAAGTTACAATTGTGTAATTATAACCCTCCTCATATATATATATATATATATATATATATAGAGAGAGAGAGAGAGAGAGAGGAAGGATCATTTTACTCTAAGAGTAAGTTTACCTATACTTACTTCATTCAATAACTCATGTTTTACATCAAATTTTAATGATCCAACCGTTCAATTTAAAGTTTTTAATGCAAAAATCAAATATGCAAATATTTAGAAATTTTAAAAATCATTTTATACTTAATTTCATTAATTCGAATCAATATATAAAATGAAATGAAATTAAGGAGTGAAATGAAATTACCATTTTATTTGAATTTAAAAGACATGTTAGCATGACACATAGAAGTTACCATGATTACTTAACATACAAATAAACAAAAATGTTACCATTACTTATCATGGGTTAATTTATGAATTGAAAAATGATTAACCAGATACAATTTAAGGATAAGTATTATATGATTTAAAATCATGTGATTAGAGTTGTTCTAGTATGGAATACCTTCTTTAAAATAATTTAGTGATAATTCTCATTTAGAACATTCAAAGAATGTAACTTATAGTGTCTTAATCTTAAGGCTTGGTTATATATACATGTATTAGAATCTCAAGATTTTATAAAAATTTTCAAAAGTCTCAAAGTAAACTATTATGTATTTTAAAAGTCAATCTATACATTTTATGATTAATTGTAATTCATCTATCAGATGCTAGCATGTCCAAATCACTATGCACTAAACTTTCAACATGGGACACAATATCGATCTAAGCAATAAGAACCTTATTAGTCTGTGGGAGATTGAGTAGTTGGTTCAGAGAGATTAGCAATCAACTTATAAGAGAATAGTAATCTGCATAAAGGAGACTAAGTAGTTAACATGGAAGAGATTGGTTTCTGGTTGAAATTTTTTCAAAAGGGTACACATGCCCTCGAGCCTTAAGCACAAGGTATGAGAAGATTATTAAATTCACCACCTTAAATTGAAAAGTTTCTGAAAGGCATGTCCCCAACCATAAGCACAAGATGTAAGATGACCGTTAAGTTTATAATTTATAGTTGAATTTTTTTCAAGAGAGTATACAAATCTCCCAACCTTGAGCACAATTTTGAAATCTTTATCTTCACCTCCTTTGATCAAATATTTTCTAAAAAAGAATAATAATCAATCATTATGTCATGCATAACTATACTTTTTATTTACAAAAGATATTGTTTTTGAAAGTATTATATAATGATTGATTTGATTGTGCAATGTCTCCCAATTTCATCACATGTGCAAACTTTTTTTCTTATAAAAAGATATAACTCATTTTTATTAAATCAAGTTTTATAAAGATAAAGTGATATCTCTTAGTTACGACCTTATGTCAAAGGTGATGATTAAGTTTGATATATAGTAAACACAAGTGTGGAACCATTTTAAAAGGACTTGTAATAAGTTCTTTAAACTAATTTGTTGATAAAATATAATGATAATTTATCATAAGCCGAAAGTAAATGAAAAGCATCCCATGTGAGCATGTGATTGGTTAAAGTTGTTAGAAGCTTGAACAAAAAAAATAACAAAAGCATGGCGTACACGCGTAGGATTGGATCGTTGGGCAACAACGTGTGTGATAGGTAATTCATATTGACACCACTTTTTTTCTTATTTCGCTACCAACATGCACCTATTTCTTATGTTATGTCTACAAAATATATTTTAAAAATCGGAATACCCCATACTTTCGGAAGCTTCCTTTTTGTTTTCACATTCACGCATATCCCTTTTTCTTCGATATTTAAATTCACACATCTCACTTTTCTTTTCTTTTTATTTTTATAAATACTAGTAGTAAGTTAGTAAATTAATTCACGCGTCTCCTTTTTCTTTCATTTTTGTTAAATATTAAATTATTGCAAACATGATGATATCCTTTCCTTTCATATTTTAATAAGATTTGCATAGAAACTCACATGATCTTTAGTATTAGTATAGATTATCTCTTTCTCTAATTATAAGAAGTTATAAGTAAATTATAAAAAAAGAAAAAAGAAAAAGTGAAAAGATGGAGGGAAGGTATATTATTATATTTACGTAGCGAGCAACTATATTCCGTTTTTTCGTGGACCGCATTCTTCCTCTTCTTTCTAACCGAACCAGTTTCCCCACTCCGACAACTTCTTCCTTAATCACATCCAACCTTCTCATGGACCAAGTTAACGGTACATGTCTTCTTCCTCATATCATTGTCCTTTTTTTCCCTCTGATTTTGTTCCAACTACGTGATTCACTTTTTTCCCAGATTCCAAGTTTTTATTTTTTGTTGGGGTGGAATTTCAACGATTATGGGTTTTTCTCGGTTACCCTTTTCATTGTTTATTCTCTTTTTTTTTTCTTCTGATTTTTTGTGTAATACATTCTAGCTACATGTTAGGTTGTATATTGGTATTTGCAAACTGTAGAAATCTTCTGGGACTTGTATTGGAAGTAATGAAGTATATAAAGCCACCAGATGAATATGAATTTTAAAAGGGTTGATTATGTGCATCCTTCCAATTCCCTACCCAACTGAACGACAGAACAAGTGTGGTATATATATGTACAACATAATGTTTCATTTACTTCATTGTGTTTATTTTATGTTTTCCTGATTATTTCAGTTGTTGAAACCAAGGATGGAACTGTCTCAGTAGCTACCGCGTTTGCTGGTCACCAGGAAGGTAATGATTCTGCATAGTTCAGATTTCTTGTTGCAATGTTTTTTTATTAGTTATCCTATCATGTCTGGCTTTTATTGATAAATTTAGATTTGAGGCCATTATATTTCTTAATGTTACGTTTGGTCAGGTTTATTTTTACTTCGAATTTCAGAGTCTTATACATGTCTTATCCTTACATTTATTATAGAATTTAGGATTCATATAGGTAAGCATTAGGCTTGATAAGCAAAGGAAATAAGCATAAATCTAATCTTCCAAAGCCCGAGAATGTAAATTAGTGTATGATTTTTTCTTAAATGAGAACAACAATTTGGAGATTTTGTTTTGCCTGTTTGATATTGTTCTGGCCTCTTATTGCTTTCTTTTGGTGTGGTGTTTGCTTAATTAGCCGTGCAGGATAGAGACCACAAATTTTTGAGAAAAGCAGTTGAAGAAGCATATAAAGGGGTAGATTGTAAACATGGAGGCCCTTTTGGTGCTGTTATAGTTCACAATGATGAAGTAGTTGTTAGTTGTCACAACATGGTTCTGAGTAACACAGACCCAACTGCTCATGCTGAGGTGACAGCTATAAGAGAGGTTAGATTTTGAATAACCACATCATGTCTTCATACAGCATGAAAACATATTTTCTTTTGGCAAATAATGGTATTGCTGTGTTTTTCTGACTCAAAAAATTTCATTATTTTTGTACATGATGGATATGCCCTGCCCCATTGGATAGTTGATTCTAGAGCGATGTTTTCTTTTTGCTTTGGTATAGATTTTAAGCAATGTTACTCTTTTAGCGCACTCTATTATTGGTTTAGTTTCTAAAATGACAATTTCTGCCTCTCTTACTTAGGTCACTTTTTAAAACAAGTATTGAGTTTTTCTGTCCGGGTTTTCCAAAGAATTCTAAACAGAGAAATCCAGTTTGTTGGTGAATATTCAAGATTTTGACTAAAGGGATCTACTGATTAAGAAATTACAAGCTTTGATTGGAACATGTAAGGATAATCATCAAAGTAACAGACAACGTTTCTATAGATGCCACTCAAACTTTGGACACCTCTGTTAGTTTTAGCTCATTGGGGGTAAACTATTAAGCCACTCATCAAGATTATTTTTATGGGCAACATGTCTGTGTGTAAAACGATCAGATTGGATTTGATAGTGGTCAAATAAGGGTTTTGGCTTTATGTTCAGTTCCATCTATACAAGAAAAATTAAAAAAGGGGTTGAGATAATGAGCTCTGAACTGACAGTTTTGAGATCTGATACATGTAAAACATGATCATTGCTGTCACCATTTATCCTATGATGCTGCTGAAAGATTTTGAGGCTATGCATGCTTCAGGCTACTGTCGTCTGTTTAAAGTTTAATATGTAGATTATGTCTCAGGTGAAAATGCTGCAGCATTGTAAAGAATTTTAAAATGTAAATAGTTTGCAACCAGATTTGTTGCCTCACTTTTTGAACAACACGCTAATGATGAGACAATTTAATACCTAGTATGAGTAGTATCACTCTATCTGAATCTGATTGTATTTCTCTGTTTTTCCTATCTTTTATGCTTTAGCTGTAATGTTTATTATGCAATGTTAAACAAAAAATGACTAATGCAGTGTTTTGATTTCACAGGCTTGTAAGAAGCTTAAGAAGATAGAACTTTCAGATTGTGAAATATATACTTCTTGTGAACCTTGCCCCATGTGCTTTGGTGCAATCCACCTTTCTAGAATTAAGGTTAGCATGACCTGCTTAAATGCTTTTCCTATATGTCTCTTCTATACCATGTTTATCCTGTTTTGAGCTAACTTATTAAAATATTATTTTCTAACAGAGGCTGGTTTATGGAGCAAAGGCTGAGGCAGCAATTGCTATTGGGTTTGATGATTTCATTGCAGATGCATTGAGAGGTACTGGATTCTATCAGAAAGCAACGTTGGAAATCAAAAGAGCTGATGGTAACGAGGCCATCATTGCTGAAGAGGTTTTTGAGAAAACAAAGGAAAAATTCAAAATGTATTAATCTGTCATTCTTTTCACACCTGATAGCAGCTGGCTATTCAGGATTGCCTTCATTTAAATTATTGAAACTGTTGATAGTGAATTGAACTCATTTGAGTACATCAAGTCATATGCTACAATTTGGATATTGAATCAGATAATCACTATTTGATTGTCAAACGGTTCACACAGGAGGAAATACAATACTTTCCTTTACTTATTATTTATCATGTCATTGCTGCTGATGTTGACATCAAGCTTTTAGCTTTGCTGAAGCTACGTTTTCATGGTGATGTGCAAACATGCTTTAACACCATAGTTTAGGGGTTTCTAAATGCTAAGAAAAAGTGAAACAAGTGTTCTCTTTTGGGTAAGTTTTCTGTAGTAAAAGGGGGTGGTTTGTGTAGAGATTCTTACATTAAATCCAAAAGAATTTCTGTTATAAATGTCATTATGTGAAACACCTGAAGGTGGAAATTTTCTCTCTTAAAACAATTATTTCTTGCACCACCTTTTTTACTTATCCTATTTCCTAAAATGTGGTTGTTTATATTTTGGTTTAATTAATCATCTAGTTCTTATGTTCATGATAATTTTTTTATTTTATTCCAAATATCCAAACAAAAAAAAAACCTTTACTAAAAAGTATAATAAATTTTTTTGTGCATTTGTAAGAAGAAAATGATGAATTAAATCTTATATTTTTCATGAAAAGTTGTTCGTATAAATAGTAGTGTTGTTTGAATAAACAACTATTGAGACTTTGGATGAATTTTCAAGCGTAAGAAGAAAAATTACAAACACATTAATTGCATGGATCTAGACATATGAGGGCCTCTTGCGACTTTTTCTTTTTAATTGGTGAGCCCAGTTTTCAACTTGATTGTGTTACAAAGGCCACTCTCTTGCCATTCGCTTCACTATTTTTTTACTGTTCATCTTAAAGTGATGTTTAATTAAAAAGGAAAAAATTTAATTAAGAGAGCTAATAAATCAAATTAGTGTAAAATTAGAAACAAATTATTTGCATGATATGTCTGTCGCATAGGAGACAATCATTTGCCACAGAGGCACCATATTATAGCAGATACAAAATTAATACGACTATTTTACATTAATACCATATTTCGGTTTTTTGATTCTGTGCATTTTTCTTTAATTGTTCAGTTGATAAAATAAAACTATTATAAATTACAGCTTGAATTCTACATCTTATACTTTTATTATTTTCTAAACCTTTTCACATGTATTATTTAGAATTAGATCGTGATATTAGTTACTTACATAATTTAATTAAGCTCATAAGTAGAGTAGTATGCAAATAACGATAAGTCATGTTTGAGTTAACACTTTCACATTAGAGTAAACATTTAAATTAATTAATGGATGGCTAACGAAAACAAGATTAAAATGATGTAGTTTAGAGGTGATTATAGTAGTTAGTTAAACATAGGCTAAGGAAGTGGTTGGGAAGATATTTTGGGGGTGGCATTTGAATTGGTCTGCTGTGGCTGTGAAGGTGGCAACCGCAGCTTTCGTTTACCATCTTATGACTTTCAACCAACTCTCCTCTTTTCTCCTTTGAACTAGTCAACTGTCAACCAATTGCCCCACACTACTACTACTAAATTCAAACCCCTGTAACCAAATTATTTATTTATTGTTCATCGAAAAAGAAAACATAAAAAGTTTTATTTACCTCAAGTTAGCTAGAATTCATTTATGTGCGTACTTGACATTCCAGCAGTCGAGTTAATTTCACGATGACTATATGCTGCTGACACACCAATAATAATTAAGAAACAGTAGTTGGGGTCCATGTCTTTGGTTTAATATATAATCAAAATTCAAATATATATCACTTCTTTAGATTAGAGACACCATGCACATAGTAAGGTAAGTTATCAGTAAGAGGGTATGTATTATTGTTGAATGAATAGTAGTAATATTAGTAAAAGAGTGTTAGAAAAGTGAAGTGTTGAGTCTGAATTAGCACAGGATCACAATTCAGGCAGCATTTAGAATTGTCTTATACTCTTATATTTGTCCTTTGCCTTTCCCTTTCCCTTTGATTGTAGGTCACGCCATGATCCTATGCTTGACTTGCTTTATTAAACCATGCATTGATTTCTAGATATAAAGTAAAAGTGTTTTTGAGAATTTTTTTATTAAAAATAAAAAATATTTTTTAATACAAATTTTTTAAAAATATTTTAAAATTTGTATCCATATATATTCCTAATATTTCTAACATATATATAGTTCAACCGACTTCAAGTAAGTGATCTCATAATGAATGAAACGTGTTTCTATTAATCATGAACTTGAACAGTTTCAGCACTCCCTCTTTTTAATTAATAGTCTTGTAGTATATAGTAACAGCACTAATTTTAATTTCAGAAAACACCGTATTATTCTTTCTTAAGCCCATTTTGTACAGCCAAAACCAAATCTTGCTAAATTATTATAACATTTTGTTAGTTTTAAGCAAAAAAAAAAATATCATATAAGAAAATTTGGAGTTTATTTTTCACATATATACCCCGAGTGTTTAAGTTTTTCAAATTAAAATTATACATTGGATATAATTTTCAAAATAATTATTATCAAAATATTAACATTTACACTATCGGTTCATTTTAATTAAATTAAAAAAAATAATGTATTTCTTTGCTAATATTCCATCCCTAAAGTCTGTCTCTTCTCTCTTTATGCTGCTATTATATTTTAGATTTAAATATATTTTTAATATCTCAAATTTAAGATAAATTTATTTTTAATATCTTAAATTTTTTTTTAATTTTATAATTTCAAAAAATCTTGTTTTAGTACTCATATTTAAATTTTGTTAAAAAATTAGATAAATATTATAGTACAAAATTTATATATTAATATTCATGTTAGTGCATTATGTTAATCTTAATTAATATTGTATAACTGTCTTAATCTATCACTTTCATATATATTATAAGTGATTTTAAGAATTAGAACAATATTTTTAAAAATTACAATACTAAAAATAACAGTTTTAACTTTTAAAAAAATAAAAGTAAATTTATCTTAATTTAAATAACTAAAAATATATTTACTTGGAAAATTTCTCTTATAACAAAACTACTTTTGACACTTAACAAAGATTAGCAAGAGAAGGAGGCTTTATATATTTAGGCAGGTTGTCCACTATATATAATATATTTATGGTTTTGCTTCACAAGTTTGATTGCAAGTGATCTCAAGTCTAGCTGGAAGTGAAACCATAACAAACAGCATATCTGATATCACCATATCTCAGTAACTGTGATTGGCATATACATAAATGGAAGGCAAAGTTGCATTGAAAAAAATGCTGCAAGTTCAGAAAAGGGCATATGTTAATACCACAGATGCACTGAACCAAACCGAGGAACCGTCCATTAAAAATACTACTGTAAGTTAGTCTCCATCCATCTTTATATGTCTGCTTCCTATATAGCCATGCCTAACACTGCACCTTTTCGTCGATCTCTCCATATTTTCACTTCATTTTTTTTTTCTGTTTTGTTTATACACAAGATTTACAAAAACCTTTTGTTTCGAAAGCTTATCAGCACTTCTTGTCAGAGATCTCAAATCAATCACTGATATAACTAAAATAGTATATTTATAACAACTCTTTATAAATTGTTTTTATAGAGTTAAGTTAAGTCATTACAATTACGTTTGTGCAGCTAGGATCTACTCTTCTGAGTTTGAGTCTGAATAACTTGGAGCCTCCCCAAAATCATGAGCAGCAGCCATTGAATAAAGTGGGTAATATTTGACAATTTAAACTCAAACCTATTTTTAATCTTCATGAATTTTGATTGATGGCCCTTGTGTTGGTTTTTTTTTTTTTTTTTTGTTATTGGATTTTAGTTGAGCTCGCTGCAAATCGAGATAGAGGAGGTGAAGAAGGAGAATCAGAATTTGAGGTCTATGCTGTTATGAAATGGATCAAGTCATTAATAGTGATGTATGTTGCACAATGTGACTTTTGAGTCAAAATATTTTTGGGGAAAAAGAAAAGAATTTTTAAAAAAATATATTTGAGAAATGACTTTTATATCAAGGATAATTGATAAAAAAAAATGAGTTTTAAAATTTTGAATTGATGTTTTTATGTAAATTATTTTCTTTTATTTACTATCTAAGACATTAGTGACAAGAAATTGATTGTGACATTGGATACTATCAAGGACAGATGGCAGTACGAGAAGGATAAAAAAAATATAGAGTAAGAGAGAGCTTGATATGATAATTAAAAAAAATAATAGAATTTCTCATTTTCTTTACTCAATTTTTTAGTTTTATTATAATTAATAATATGATTATATATATATACATATATATATATATGTGTGTGTGTGTGTGTGTGTGTGAGAGAGAGAGAGAGAGAGTATATATAAAAAAAAAATAGAAAAGTTTGGGGGAACTGTCGATCCCCTTGTTATAACCAAGGTCCACAACTAGCTACCAATGTCATAAGATAGTAAATGGAGTTTGAGTAGAGTGGGTAAGATGAGACTGCTAGTTTGGGGGAATAGACCATTGGTCTAGGGAATGTTTGGGCGTGGTCAATCCCATAGATGGTCAATCTTTATTTGATTTTGTGTCGTGGTAGCCTATCGGGTTCACTGACACTCTAACTACTTTCTACTTATTCGCGTTTAGTGGGGCATTGCCGAATCACTAAATAGAGTGGTGTTAAGCTTTAGCTTCACTAAACACTCAAAAGGGAAAATCTCTATAGAGTATTGAGTTAAAATAATTTTTGAAAAGTATATTTTGAGTCAAAATATGCATCTCATAAGCATATTGCAATAGTTGGACAATTATTAATGCAAAATCTTATTAAGTTGTATGTATTAATAATTGTATGAACTTCTTATGCATGTGTTTCTATGATTTGTTTGTGTGAAATGTGAATGAAATTAAATGTCTAACTCCATAAATATTTTTAAACCCAGATATTGAATATATAATAATACAGAAAAATTGAAAGTGTAATTAGAGGTTTAGATACATAAATCCAAAGCATAGGATGAAAGTTTATTTTATTAAGATGTGATATTTGTATGAAAAAAGAAAATGGTTTGTAATATTTAGTGACTTTTATATAATAGAACTTTATTTAGATAAATTATTCATTTATCCTTTCTACTTATTATCCATATTAATATAAATAATCCAAATAATTCATTCAAATTAATAAATGTAATATGGAAAGGGGTTACAACCATAACCATTAAGTTCTTTTCCACTTCTAACATATGAGTTTTGCAATTCATTAATTATAAAAGAAGCACTCATATTTGATTGATACATCCTTATTTAAAATCTTTCGAAATAATGACTCATTTTACTAAACCCCAAATTTAATAATTTGTGATTTACAATCTTAAACATGTAGTTAGAATAGATGAAATTAAGGATGATTAAGACAAGAAAAACTTCAATTATAGTAAAACCCTACGAAATTCAATAACAACCTTCTATTTTAACTAGAGTATCCATAATTAGAATATTTAAACATGATAATGTTTTGTTGTCGATTAAAAAGTATCAAAATATTGCATTATGATCCATATTAGGTATAACGACCCGTTAGGTCACTACACTAATTTGTTTAGCTACTTGCAACGAAAAACATAATTATTACTACCTAAGGTTAACATGCAAGCAATACCTGGATATACATGCAATAATATATACTTGTGCGTAAAAATTTCATCAACAATTGTAATAATAAAAATAAATCCCTCCACATGACTGCAACTATAACTATACAACATATATATATATATATATATATATATATAAAA